AATAGTGCGTACTTTAATGGTTCAATGAAGTCAGGTTGAAGGACAAAGAAGACCCCAACATCTTTTCAAACATGTTGGAACTGAATTCAAAATTTCTGAGAAAAACTACTTCATTAATAGTCAAAAGAAGACAAACAGTTAAATAATGGAAGAAGAAATTATTAGGTTGAAAGACGTCCAAGATATTTATTCACTGACTAGTTTTCCAGTATTACTTCAATTTGAATTAGTCAGATCAATTCAGTAGGGCGCATAGTATCTGTTAAGTTAATTTAGGCTTTTCTAATTGATAACCAGAATATATATAAAAAAAAAAAAAAAAAAAAATTATAGATAAGAAGATTCCGAACTCCGGTAGATCAACTAACTTTGAAATGATTAAATGTCAAAAATTCGTGTCCCTGTTGTTTACAAAGCAATCAGAAATGCAAAGCATACGAATTTAAGGACCAAAAATTTAGACAAATTGCTAAGAGAAAATGATAAAACAAAGGTTCAAGACATATCACCTGAAATGTGAACATTATCAACTTCTCGATCAGTAATTCTGTAAGCGAATCAGTCCCTTTGTCTTGTATCACACAGGCCTCATGCTGACATGATTTTATTTATCGAATTCAAAATCCTTTCCAGCTTTGCTTAATTTTCTCTCTAACAAACTTTAACGATTATTAAAAGCGAATATTATCAGTGATAAAGATGAACAACTGATGACATTAGGTGACATTTATATATTCATTATTCCTTTCATTTTTGTATCTATAAAGCATTGTTCTGCAAATTCAATTAATTAATTTATATAATTATCTTCTGTTAGTTAAACGTTTCTTAAAAAGATTTAGTGATTAATTTAACTGCACATCCATTAAAGTAATATACCAGGAATGTTCTGCCTTTTTATCAAGCATTTTCTTTCACGTCTTATAGTTGCATCTGGAAATTTAAATTTATAAACGACGTATCAATAATTGTAGTCATTATTTTGTTTAAACAGAGTGCATTGATAATCATAACTTTTTTAAAATTCTGAAACTTCAGTATTTACAACAGTAACTGAAAGATTATTTTCGAGTAGTTTTACTTTGAATAATTTTCTTTTTTTTACTACGCACTATGTATTTTAAAGTGGTTACTGAAGTATTTACTGCAACTGCCGCCCCAAAGCGGCTGAACAAATGATTACTTCGCCTTAATAGATACATATTTTTGATGGTTGAACGATAGCTGTGTAAATAGTTAATATTCATTTCTGAGTACAAGTGTCAGAAATTTTTTTGTAAATTCTTTTCTGCAGCCCCTAAAATTTTTTCATTTGTCCCGGAGAATGAGATAAGTTAGAAAAATCAAGTAAAAAATCAAATTAACTGAGAATTTTACTCATCAAACTTGTTTTCCTCTTAAATTTTTGGATTATCAAATTCAGCGCTCATGAAAAAATTCAATTTACATCGCTTTTGGAAGGAGAACTTAAATACTTGATAAAAAGCTTTTTTAAAGAGATTTGAACGTTATTGGAAATGACATCTAGAGTGAAACTTAAAGATGCACTCGTTTTATATACATGAATGAGTATTTTCTGTTTGCACATGTGTATCCGCAATTGTAGGACTCCATCTCAGTCCTGCGAAAAGAATGCCAGAATAGTGGAAGAGTACAGGAAAGCTTTTTAAAGAAATTTTAGAGATAGAAAAATTAGAATTGATTTCTTCATTAGGTTGGAAAAAAGGAACTGTAGAAAATATAAATCTAAAGAACATTTCAAAAGTGATGAAGTGTTAAAAGTAATGTTGTTTTTTAGAATTCCATTTTTTGTTATTCGAAATTTGCAGACTAGTTATCAGCTACTGCCCATATGATTTATTTAAAATTCAAAGTTAAATTTTAAATGTTTCTCGAGTTTTTCTATTTTCCCTAAATTACTTTTTAGTCTTATGATTCTAAAATCACATCAACTGCTTACTACTCTGCAGCGTTTGCTGATTAAAAAAAAAGAAAAAAAGCAAACTGGTTATGCAAAGAAATACAATTTGTATCCTAATTGCTTGGATTTTATATACAATGAATATGTTTTTTTTTTTTTCTATTTACCAATATGTCACTTATTTAAGGAGGTAAGAGATGATGAAACTTTGTTCCGAATCTTAAAAGATCGCAAAGCGGAATGAGCATTCATTTGCTTGGACAGGAAGTAATATGTTGAATGTCTAACATACTGAAAGATGTAAAAACATCGATTGTTCCTTCATCCTTATCCCTAATCTTGGATAAATCAGAACAGATAATCGATCAAGAAATAAAAATCTAAAAACAAAAATTAAAAAATCTAAATACCATTTCGATTTCTGTTATAGTTATAAATGTTATACACATTTCTATACCGGATCATTATGACCGATATTCTCAGTTGAGTCAGTTTGAGAATGATTATGAATTCAATCTATTATTTTTAAAGTGACTTACATTTATCTTCTTTTCTTGCATATAATTTTTGACCCTCACCGAAGTCTAGACCATTCTCACTCTTCTCTGAAATGCTATTTACTCGCTGATAACTGGTCAGAAATAAAAACCTAAATTTTAGAGGAAAATCTTGTGGTGTTGCATTGTTCGACGTAGCACTGAAATATCTTTCACTGTTTTTTCTTTTTTTTTTTTTTCCTAATCCTCTGTAATTGAATTTTCAATTTATTTGATAATTTAGCTAAATTAAGGCTTGATTCTCTAGATAAACAGATTTTCCAAAATTTAGTGCGACAATTACAATAATTCATTTGCTTTTTATATGCTTCATCGTGTATAAATGAGCTCTTCAATAAATATTAAATTGTTTACTTTGTATAAACTGTATTCGCAACATAATGTAAACAAATACATCCAATTTCTATTCAATGAATAATTAAAAAAAAAAATTAAACAAATTGTTTAGTTTTTCCATCACAAAACTTAACCAAAGAGTCTAGACAAAATTTTGATTCCAGATTTTTATTGATTTTTTATTAAAAGCTTGTAGATAATGAATTTTATCGTTAATTCTTATAAAATCTTTTTGACAGAAAACCTAGATTCATTTTAATTCAAAAAGATTATTTGTACTAAAAATTTCTTTAACAAAAATTTCATACATTGCCCTCTTAACTTAATATTTTGTGCTCAAGTTTTAACATTTAGAAATTATAAATGGCCGACATTATAATCCAATGTATACACAGGGCAGATGGACATGAGCTTTGATATGTACAAATCTTTTGGTTTAGGCAGTTAGTAAATATGCTAATTTCAATATCCTTTTTTTGCACAGTTTTACTTTCTTATAATGAAAAATCGAAATGAAGCATTGGGTCACATTATCATATTGTTTTTTAGCTGCAAATGAAACTGCAGTAACAGATAACTAACAAAAAGATATCCAAAATACTAACATAATTTGATCAAATCCAATGAGTAGTGAATATCTCTGTTCGACTAATAGTAGCTTCAACTAAGATAATTAACCTTATTCCATTTATCTAATAATAACCCTTAAATCGCAACAAAAACTATTGTAAAATCTAAGAAATATTACGTGAAATGACTAAAAATTTACGTAGTAAATTGATATTTTAATATCACGCATAAGCAAGTAAAAGATGAAAAAGAAATTAAAATTGTTACTTTGAGTTTTAGAAATGTGATACTTTTTTAAATTAAAAAGGCAACGGTGTTATGTGGTAAACGGAAACTAATCAAAAACACCGTTATTGAATAGATCAATATACAGACATATATCACCGCTAAAAGTGGTGATAGCATGCAACTGATAATTGCTAACTGTAACCCAAATCGGATGTAGAAATTTGATAATAAACTATGATATTATTTCACCTCGTTAATGTAATTTTGACAGTTGTATCGGAAATGTTTTTTGGAAAGTGGCGGTTTGTGTAAAAATTTGCATTTTCAAAATAGCTTTTGGAAAATGCGGTTATTTGATTCTTAATATGTTAGCTCGGTATGAGATAACTCCTTCAGTTATGAATGAGAAGCTGGTCAGTAATAGTAGTAAATAATAATGATAGCCATGACATAATTCGAGCTGTAAAATAGAAACAAACATAGGTTTATCTAATATTCCTACTTTAAAACCATGTATCTCAGCTGAGGTGAAATAAGTAGTATGGCAAAAGTACTAATCGAGGACTTCAATTCAAAAAACAAGCATTGGCAGAAATATAAATGAACCACTCCGACTGTTTACATATTGGTAAATGATGGCGTTTTATTTCACCCTCTGCTATTATCTGCCCTTGTTGACAAAATAAAAGGAATAGTGTATTGACATGGATCATTGTCTTGTGTATCGATCCATTCAAGCTAGCAGCAGGTCCAATAAAGCTTTATCTTGCTTCTGTATGTACATTGCCACTCCTAAACGTTTTAGTTTATCACATCGTAGAAAACGAAAATATGTGATTCATTTGCATTTAAAAGAAATGAAATTAAAACAAGTATTAACTGCACATTAGTAGAGAATGAAAATATGTCACAGGAATATGCAATGATGATGATTGGAAGTGAACTTATCTTTGCATAGATCATTTTAGTGCAATGGAATGCTCAAAAGAAATCACATAAAAATGAAATTCTAAATAAATGTACAATTGCGCTTTACACATAACTCACGGATATATTGCATAAGGTGAACAACATAAGCAGGCTTTAGAAATGTCCAGAATCTCAAAAAAAAAAGGAAAACGAAAAATTAATTCCTTCCAAAAGGGCATCTTCAGAATAAAATTACTCTAATCAATATATGTTCCTACTCACTACTGCTAGGTAATCCAACACAATAACTCTGAAATTTCAATTTTCCCTTAAATAACAAATTTGGAACTAACAATAATGGTTCTCTGGGGATTCATTCCGCGACTGGAACCGAATCATCTATAAGGTTGTGGGTTAAGTTAATATGCCATAACAAGAAAGTTCAGAAATCGAGCACAGAATTGTTTAGGACACAACATTCATGAAGTATATTCCGATAGAGTAGCTGTGTCGAATTTTAACGGACTGTGAATTGTGATACAAGGCTGAAATGGAAGTGATGGAAGCAAGTGGGAGGAAGATTCATTCCTGCAACTAAAGAATAATTATTGAATTAATTAGTATTATCTCCAGAAGCTAGACTGCTCCTCAAAACAAGGTAGTGAGGTAGAAAATCCAGAACGTGATTTTACTCATGGTTAGATGCTAGAAAGCAAAAGACGGGATTACTGCACTGAGAGAGGGTCCTAAACAAGTAAGGCAACTTCCTGAAAGGATTGTTATTAAAAGTTAATGCTTTAATTTTTCAGGGTCTCAGAGAAACCAATCTGAGAAAGCTTTCTTTTTTGAAAAACAATAAGATATTTTATAGAGCAACATAACCATCCCATTACCTTGATGATAGATGTAGAAAAAGAAAAACAAAACCTTACGGTAGTAGTATCATCACGTCGATGAGTCACATTGCATTTTTGTGGTTCATCGTTTCCAACAAGTATCGCTGTCACCAAAAGCATTATTATGATTCTGGAATACATCTTTTGCTCAGCACTACTTCATATATTTGAATGCAAATGGAGAAAAGTATCACTCACTGAGTTGTTACCTTCCTTTAATCTTGTGGCTTAAATTTCTTTATTTTTTGCTCATCTTCCTTTTACCACTGTCATCATTTTCTTCACAGCAGGTTAAATTACCTAGAACTAAGTAAAGAAGAGAAATGAGGAGAAATAATGGGATGAAAAGACTCGAAACATATAAAATAGAAATATATATTTCCCTTGCAGTGAAAACTACAGGGATGTGCAGTTCTATACCATTTTAAATACTGAGGCAATCAGTCATCAACTACTAAATGTCATCGATTAAGAATCATCAAAAACAAAGTAGAAAGGAAATCAATTTAAGATGTTTTAATAGGCATTAGTTGGTAAGCCTCATCAAATCAATTTTCAATCATCTGGACAAATTATTGGCAGAAACACTGATGGTTAAAATATTAAAGCAGAAAGGGCAATATTATGGGGTTAAAATATCGCTTGCTTGCTCGTCAAGGATAGGTCGAACTATTAATATTTTAGCGCATATTTTCCAGAATTTTGTAAAAAAGTGCAGCGTGCAAGTTCTTTTTACAAAATATTCGTTTTTTTTTTTTTTTTTTTTTTTGTTCAAACATTTAATAAGCAACTAATTAACTGGAGATAGATATTGCCATAGTGCATAGTTAAGCAGATTCATATAAAAAAGGGAAACTTACACAGCTAAAGCGATCAGAAATGGTTGATTGAAACCGAAAGCCGAAAATAAATTTCCCATCTGTAAGGAAGTAAGGAAACAAAGGTGCTAAATCAGAATAACAATTTACCGATTACTGCAAACCAACATGAACAAACGGATTTGAGAAATGCACTAGTGGAGAGGGACACGAAATGCAAACAACACACATACATTTCGACTGAGACTAGGTAGACCATGCGAAGTTCATTCTTCAACGCTCCTCCCTCTCTCGTAAGAGAAAGACATATCGCAGTGCAATTCAGGAGAGAATGACAGAATTGATTCTTCTTCACAGAATTGATGCTTATTCATGGCTTTAACAAATGCAAAGAGAAACTGCAAGATAGCTGTTAAATGATCACATCCCTTCCGCTTCACTTCAGATCAATTTATACATTTCTGTCAAATTTTAAAATATTATAAATGCCAAGCAAATGTCGATCTTCCTCCTGGTCATTAGCAATGTCACATTAAACTGTGATCCAACATAAGTTGACGAATTCATCAATTTCAAATTTAAGCTTTCTCCAAAATCCCATATAAATTATTTTAAATCAGCTAATTCGTTCACTCCATCACTATTAATATTTAAATTATAGCACATGATAAATAAACTCTTTACTTATTTACTCTCAAGCTTACCATTTGAACAAGTTTAACTAGTGATAATGGATTAGTGGAATTATATCGTAGTCTCAGTCTTCAGTCAGTGCTTAACAAAATGAGGCAAGCAGTTAGTGATGAGAATCGTGATCCCCGGATGATTAGCATAGTTTTAACAACTATTACGGTTGTAAATTCACAAAGCTATATTTCAAAAAAAGAAATGAAAAGATATGATCAGTTTGTCTAATACATCAAATAGACTTCATAGACGAGAGCAGACACTAAAAATTGGAATTCAAAAATATTCAATTAAGCAGTTCCTATACGCGAAGATTTCGTTGTTCCTCAAAAAATTACTGCACTTTCGAAACCCCAAAAATAAAAAAAATATCATTTTCCAAGTTTGTTAGACTTGCAACCATAAATTCTTCCTTTCCATCTTCAATACTTTAGGAAATTACCACACATACAGGACAAGTAATAGCTGTTTATCTACTTACAAATATACTGCACTGTTTAAATCGAAAATCATTCAAAGATGTAGGTGATAAAATTGTTATATTTAATAAAAAAAGGCTCTAAGCAGTAACATTCATTCGCAGATGACCTAATAACCAATTAAGAATAAGTAATAGTTGTTCCTTCCTTGAAAGACATCTGTTAATTTCAGAAAATTCAACTAGTTTTATAATCAAATTTACGTCAATTCTTTGCGAAATAAACATAAAATTTATTATGGGATTTACTGATAGGTATGAAAAATGAAATGTTGTAGAATAGATTCATAGGATTAGAGTAAAGGTAATGAATATCAAAATCAATCTCCATGACATTTATTTTCCTTTTTTTGCCTCTGGTAATTTGATTGCAAAAACATCGCTTTTCTATCGCTTACTAAATTTGTTAAAAATAATTCAATTTCATGGTATTGAAATAAAGTCGAAAGTGTCAGTTAGAAGGAAAAAGTTACATCTCTCTCCTTCTATATTAATGTCTCGTGAACTACGCAAATCTGACTAATCAGTTCGCTAAATAAGTGGCTGTCAATTTCAACTTTACTATCATCAAGTATCGCTTGATTTTCTGCAGTAAACAAGGAAAATGAGTACCTGAATATCTTCTCATATCTTGACAGCACTTGGAGGAATAAGGTAATACTCCAAGTGATATCAAGTCCCTTTTTTTATCTTCAACCTACTTCCAATCAAATTTCACTTTTTAAATTCGAAAAGATGAAATAACTGCATATTATTAATCTACCATTAAAAATCATTCCGAATCAGTAACACTGATGGAAATAGCGAACATTTCTAGAAAGGTAAACGAAAACTACAAAGCTCTAAAATTTCAAGTATTAACTTTGTCATTATTCTTAAAAATTATTTCTACTGAACGCTTCAGAGGTTCCTGCTTAAATTTTTCCAGCACTTCAATTTCAGAACACATCCAAAAAATCGACCCGTCCTAATGAAGGGTTGGAACTAGCAATACAGTAATTCATTTCAGGGAATATTTTTGGCCAAATGCAATAAACTCTGGAATAATTTGTACCAAAATGCTCAATGACACCATTGTGGATATTTAGCTGATGGTATATTTTTGCTGCAATTTCCTGAAAATATGCAAACCTACTGAATATTAATTTAAAAAAAGAAGAAAAAAAACAAAGTTACATCGCGCTAATGTTCTTTCAACATCATTCACCCTATCATTAAAAAATTTGTAATTTCACTAAATTGCATGGATATTAAAAGAAAAAAATTATGAGATTTCAGAAAATGTGAAAGTTTAAACCAAATTATTCCTCAGCAATCTTTTACACTGGAAGAATTTAGATTCACCACAAAGAACAACAATCTTGTGAACAACCAGTCGTTTAAAATGCCAAATTAATTTCAATATCTGGTCTACATTTTGGCAGATACTCCATCTAAAATCCATATCAGAAACTGGGAAATTTACATTCATTATACCAACACCGAAGAATGAGCAAATGGGTTAACTGCAAAGTGATAGTTTCTTTTTTTTACAACATGCATCGATGTTTAGAAAAAAAGTCTGGATGAGGAAATGATATACTAATTACGAGTGCTACGCATCAACCAAAAATTAAGATTTAATTTAGATAGATTTTTGGAAGCTTGCAATTTACAGGAAGTCCTTCCTCTATCCTTTTTTGAAGAAAAAATTATTTTTGAATCTGTATGAAATCCGAATCTAATATCACATTCTCGAGATTTGTGCGAAGAATCTACTGCCAAATTTTTGAGCATACCAAATCATTTTATTTTCACCACGCAAATTATTATATTTGCTTCATCTATCTTGAAAAGACAGAAAATGATATACCTCCAAGCAAATAATGAAACCACTAAATACCTTTGGATAAACAGCATCCACCAATCCTCAAACCTTATTCTCAATATCAGTCTTAACACCGATTATCACAACCAGATCAATTATTAGTAAAGGCAAGCGCTTCATGCTAATTTATTATGAACCATTTCACAAATAGTAAAACATTCTTTTATAATGAAGAGCAGTAGATGGATGTATGCAAGATAATGAATTTTGGATGTAAATTTCTTCTGATTTCTGATCTTAACTGAGACGAAGGAACCGTGCAGTACACTCTTACTTCCAAATATATTGAGGGAATTAAAATTGGTTGTCTTTGTACTCTAACAAATCCTCGAAACAATCACCTGAGCTCAGTAGATAATTTCAAAAGTTCTGCAAGTCCCAGATACCCTTGTCATTACTTGAAAAATCTTGGTGTGACGTAATTAGAAAGGCTATCCAGTTACCATTCTTAGTCATGTAATATTGATCCAGATGTTCGGCGATGAAATATGCAAAACTCAAAACATCTGAAAACATAACTAAACTGACTACAAATTGGGAATGGGTAGTGAATTAGCTCAATATTTAAAAATAAAAAATTCTAGGAGATTTTCCTTGAAGAACTTTACTTTTATCTGCACAAATCCTTTTCCGAGCGATCATCAAAAACACAAAAAATATGGCAAGTGTTGTAGTAGAAAAAGTGTTTTTCTTCCGAACGAAAATTCCTTAACAGCTGGATCAAATTCCAAAGTAAACACAATGGCTATAAAACGACAACAGAATAACACAACGTCAGAAATCAAATAAAGACTACGATCAGGAGGATCTGATGTCCTAGTTTCTGAATGGAGATCTGTACTGACACCAAACAAAAGCATGAACGAAGCTGCAGATATAAGTCGTTGATAAGTTTTACTTTCACCTTCCCTAAAAATCTCAACATTTAAAATGGTTAGTTTTGATTGGTTTGCATACAGTTTCTGTAACATATTTAGTCCACTCCCGCTAGATCGAACTATTGCTAATTTCTTAGAAATTAGCGATAGTTTGAACACGCCAGTATTCAACTAGGTTTAATGGTATAACAAACAATATATTTTATGAAAAAGGAAAAAAAGAATAAAACTATACTTCTTTTTATTGTATAGGAATGCAAAACTAATGTTAAATGACATTTTAACAATTTTCACATGACTTTTACCGAGAACATTTCAAACAATGCACAAAATCTTAAATTTTAGGTATATAAAACATGAGCAAATATTAATATGCTGTGTGAAACACAGCGAACCTTAAAAGTTCCCATACTCGTTGCTGCCATCAACATTTCTCCACCAACGTTTAAATTTCTCATCAATAGCATCCAAAGGATCAACGCGTTCTCGACCATTGCCAGCGCACTGCTGTACTGCTGTACCAAACATGGACTGCGATACTAATTCATTAGCTAAATATGACGGTACAGCTGCTCCAGAACCAGTCCGAGCACGTTTCGTAGGTGCAATATCCCAGTTTGCTGCCAAACCAATCGTTCCACTTCCCTTACGACTATATTCTATAATTTTGAATATCATATACATTTGCTATTCTTACGTTTCGATTTCCGACGAATAAACATTGCAAGTGCAACATATGATGCAATAGTTCGGCATAAAATGGACAACAGTAACCAAGAAACTAGCAGTACTGGATGATTTACAATCCTGATGACAGGTAAAAAATTTAATTTTATTACATTATTTTTGCATACTGGCATTCAGATTTACAAATAATACAGCAGTTCATTACTTGTTCAGTTAAGCTAATTATTCATCAACAAATCACTTGAATAATCATTTTGCATAATATTTACCTTGTACTGTAATATAAGCAGACTGTTATTTCTGAAATCACTACTGTTCCAAAGTATACGCACAGTTATAATCAAACCTAACTAGATCAAAAATGTCAGATCTATGTAAATTATATTCCAAATTTATAGAATTAAATTCCGACTGTTCAAAAACTTACCAGCATAATCTGACGGTGTACCTCTGCCGCAATTTCGCATAACGCTGTCGCTCATACAGGGGTGGAAAGCCTTGTTT